GTCAGGCTGAACTCGAACTCCTGACCTCAGGTGATCCACCTGCTTCGGCCTCCCAAAGTGCTGAAATTAGAGACACAAGCCACTGCGCCTGGCCTTAAACAGATTTTTTAGAGACTAGATTTTCATTTAAAAATATTTGGTTTCACACTCTAGGTAAAGATACCTGAAGTACTGTAAAACTCAGTGAATAAACATTTTTCTTGTCTTCTGCTATATTCATAGAATTTATAATAAGAGATGCCCAGAATAATATTCATAGAAAGTAGACCTAGATGTATTATGTAGAAAATTATGGCATTATGGTAAGGCATTATATTCAGGATAAATAAATTACAAATTTATTTTAAACAATATGGTGAAATTGATCCCTAATCTCCACTTAATAGCTACATGAACTAGTCGATATATGAACTAGGTTTTCTTTGTTCCCCTCATTAGTTCTTTCAGTTCATGGTGAAAACTGTGTATAGATATTTTTTCTTGTTGGCTTTCATGTGAAAGCAGGTTTTTTTACTGAGAATTTTATTTTCCTCAGAGATTTTGTTACATTTGGTTCTAGAACATCTAGTTTCACAGCATCAGCTAATTTGGGGGACCTGAATTTGCTAATTCTTAAAATTATATTATTTTGAAAATTATTATTTTAATCAAGGTAATAAATATTCAGAGGTTATTTGTTGTAAAGTCTAATTCTGTTCCCTCTTTCAGTTTTTAATTCCTTTTTTCTCTGTTTTAAATTAAACTATATAAACTCTAGAAATTGCCCTTTGTTACTGACATATACTTGAAAACCACTTTTCTGTCAATTTCTCTTTCCCACTCCTCTAGCAATTCAAAGTATTAACAGCATAATTTTTACCTAAACCTGTACTCAGTGAATGCTGTAAGGTAATTAATTAAATATTATTAATGACAGACCCAAGCAGGATACTATGATTTTATTACCTTTCTGATACAAATTTATTTCTTGAATTAAACAATCATTTTAGTCTATACTAGTTTAATTTTGTTTATGCCTATTAAGTTCTGCTGAAATACTTCCACTTAACTTGTACTTGTCCTGAAATAGTTTTTCATTTATTGACAAAACTTTAAATTATCTCTGGGTTACATTTTTCTTCCCCTGCAGATGTCTCTCCTGCAGCCTGCCTTCCTCCTCCTCAGATTTGGCTTCTTTCTGGACAGTGTGAAGCTGTGAATGGATGCCCTGACTCTAGGACCTCCTTTTTTTTCTGCTGTCATTTTTCTTGCTGACTCCACAGAGGGTTAGCATCCTGATGTTCACAGAGAGTGTGCATGTTAGGTAGATTTTTTGAGATCTTGGATATCTAAAAATGAATGCGTTCTACCCTTTATATTTGATGATGACATAGTTTGGATATGTGTCCCTGACAAAATCTCTTGTCAAATTGTAATCCTCAATGGTGGAGATGGGACCTGGTGGGAGGTAAGTGAATCATAAGGGCAAAATTCTCCCTTTGGTGTTGTTCTCATGATAGACTTCTCTGAAGATCTACTTGTGTGAAAGTGTGTGGCATCTCCCTCCCCCATCTCTCTTCCACCTGCTCTGGCCATATGAAACATACCTTCTTCCCCTTCTTCCCCTTCTGTCATGATTATAAGTTTCCTGAGGCCTCCTCAGAAGCCCAAGAGATGATCAACACTATGCTTCCTGTACAGCCTGTGAAACTGTGAGCCAACGGACTCTATTTTTCGATAAATTATCCAACCTCAGGTATTTCCTTACAGAAATGTAAGAAAAGACAAGTGCAGATGATTTATTTAAAGTAAATTTTTGTTTATTGAGCTCCTACTATGCATCATGCACTATTCTAGGAACTGAGGATGTGAGAGTAAATAGGACAAAATAAAAATGAACTAGGTTCTAATCTAAAAAGAGCTTTTATTTTGGGGGGCAGAAGAATATAGATAAATAATAACAACAATGTGTCATTCACATATAGAGAGATATATGTCAACATGTCTATATATACACATACATGATTATATGAGAAAAGCAAGGTTAGGGTCTTGGAGAGTGATGGTGGTGTTTAATTTTCTATATGAAAATCTCAGGCTCAGAAAATTTGAGCAGAGACCTAAAATAAATGAGGTAATTAACCATTTCTATATTTCAGATGAGAGCATGTGAGACAGAGTAAAGAACACCTCACTTCTGCTGCTCTGACATTGAACCAAAGATGTGAATTTCTATGACATCTCTACTGAATTAGCTTGCTTGGCCACTGCAGAGATTAATGCACCATGTAAAATCTCCAGGGTCTCAGTGGTCTGCAGATTGTCAAGACAGCCTCTTCGATGTGTAAGAAAATGTTTTGCACCTAGAAACATGTGTCTCTGCAAAAGAGGCACAACTCTTGTTAACCCCTTTACATTTTGGAGACAAATTATGCCATATTTGTGAATGCTGCCTCAACACATGCACAGAGTAACTCAGAAAGCTGCCCATCTTGACTGAAACTCAGAGCAAAAGACATCTCTGCAGAGGTGCAGCTGGAGGGAAGGCAGTTCTGCAGTAAGGAATCACAGGATGGTGCTTGAGCATCTGCAGCAGGCCACTGTGCTGTATGGAGTCTCCAGCAAGCTCAAGGGATATCTTCAGTGCAGAATTCCAGGGATGTGAAAAAACATATATGTTTCTGTCAATTATCTACTGAAAATAGCTCCTGGCTTGTCACTGCACTCTTGTAGAGATAGAACGACTGATCATGGGATACCAAGTAACAAGAGCTGAGATATTTCTTATGAACTGTTATAAAATCTACTGGGAAATAGCATGGTATGCACAGGTGCTGTATATAAGCAAGACACACTGGTCTATAGGCTATCAAGCTGAATCAGATGCGGTAGGCATGAAAGGATTGCATGTGGAGGTGACTCAGACCTCCATGGCACCTACTTCCATGCATGAGACCCCCCTCTCAACCCACAACTAAGGCAGTCCCATTGGTGTTTCTTACGAACAGCTAACCAATGGAGGAAAAAGTGTACCTATATACAGATGCTATTACCAGTATAATGTAGGCTGGTAACTATTTGGCTCAAAAAATAAACAAACAAAAAAAAACACACAAAAAAAAAATACTGGAGAAGAGAAGGTCTTCCAAATGGCAGAAATTTGGAAAGAATATCTGTTTTTATTTACATCATCTAAAGGTATGCACCTGCATGAATTTATTGCTGATGGCCATAAGTTTGGAACTGGAAAGACCTTGACATCAACAGGAGATTCAACAATGAATCTGCAATGAGGTGTATGACTGACCAGCTGGAATGAGCAGAACATGAGAATGTTTGTTTCCCATATGCATGCTCTTTATCAGTATGAGGGGCTACCTGCAATAGAACCAATAGAGAATGGAGCTGTAAATATTAGACTTTTTTTCACAGTTTCCTCAGTGTTTGCTTAATAGGTTCATGGGAGACAATGTGGCCATAAGAAGAGTAAGGAGGTTTTTCATTAGTTCAAGAACATGGACTTTCCTTTACCAATACTGGCTACTGACCCAAATGAGCACCAAGATTGCCAAAAATGACCAATGCTTAAACCCTGGAAAAGTGAGCTACCTTGACTAGACCAGTTAGATTCCTGGTGAGATTCTAGTAATATTCTTTCTCTTTTTTCCTGGAAGTGGTAGATTTTCTTACTGGAATTAACACATATTTGAATACTGATTTTTCTCATTTCAAATTCATAATTTGAATTATGCTTTCCCTAGCATCAACTTACTACATTTGCTGAGTTCCTGTTCTCTGTCCTGATACTTTACATATGATTGCCACTCATGACAGAGCTCATTTTACAGAAAAAGGAGTACTGCAGTAGGCTCCAGCCTATAAGACTTATTGGTCTTGTGATGGCCCACATCCCCCAGAGCATAGTCTTAAAGGAATCAGTTATTTTGTGAACTGTGAGACCATATTCTAAGAGGCTAGGTTTATATTATACAAGATGTGGTGTATATTCTGGACCACGAGCCAATACATTGTCTCATAGCTGGAACACATGGTTCCATGTATCAAGAATCATTTCACACTGTTTATTGAGCTTCCTTTGTAGAGCAGTGGATGAAAAACCACAATCTCCAGAAATGTTGCTTTTTGGGCTTTTGCCCCACTCATTTCTTTTGCAATCCCAGTGTCCTAGAAAGCTTCTGAAGCATATTTCTTGATTGTCTACTTTAAAACTAACTGTGTTACTTTATATAAAATTTTGATTCAGAACGTGTGGATGTAGGAAAAAAAGTCCTCATAAGTGTTAGAAATAATGCTGCATGCCTTTGTTTTCATGAATGTTTTTATAAGTGGTAACAACACTTTTCCTTGTTCATGTGTAAATAAGCAGTTAAGATGTAAACAATTTATGCATGCTGTGACTTAGCCTATGGATTAATTCCAAAATTGCTTAGTCACCATGCAGTGTCTGTATTTTTATATATGTGTTCATATATACATAATGATTGTAATACATAATAAGAATGAGATGGTATTACATTATTCCTAATAATAGGGATAATGCTGTTCATTGTCAAGAAAGAGTAAATTTGTTCTCTTCAATTAATGCCCTTTTATTTTGGGACCAGGTTTTTCTTTTCCCTGATATTATTTCCATTTAATATTCTTTTCTCTCAAGAAAAAAGTTTGTTCTTTCTTTATTACCCTTCATAGCAGACCAAATATTGCCTCTCTGCCATAGACAGCTACTGTCCACACATGCTATAATTTGACATTCTGGGTGGCAGATATAGGGTATTTAAAATCTATTTATGCTTTATAGGGAAACCAGACATTAAAACTTCATGCACTACTTATTACAAATTACTCTGCCTTATCCAAATTTACACCTAGTTATTGGGATCTTCATCCCAGGTAACAGGAGTAATTCTATGGTTTTATTTTTCTGTAAACAACTGAAAGAATAATTAGATCATATTCTAGTATGTTCTGAAGTATCTTTAAGACTGATCTCAAAAACTAACTTCTGTCAGTTCCAAGGCGTCTGTGAGCCCGCGGAGTATACGCCATGAGCAAAGCTCACCCTCCCGAGTTGAAAAAATTTATGGACAAGAAGTTATCATTGAAATTAAATGGTGGCAGACATGTCCAAGGAATATTGCGGGGATTTGATCCCTTTATGAACCTTGTGATAGATGAATGTGTGGAGATGGCAACTAGTGGGCAACAGAACAATATTGGAATGGTGGTAATACGAGGAAATAGTATCATCATGTTAGAAGCCTTGGAACGAGTATAAATAATGGCTGTTCAGCAGATAAACCCATGTCCTCTCTCCATAGGGAAATTAGGTCATATACATTTTCATATTAGACTTTTTGTTAAATAAACTTTTGTAATAGTCAAAAAAAAAAAACTAACTTCTAAGATGATTTCATCTCCTCATAGCATAGAGTTTACTTTGTACATGTTTGAAACCAACTACTGTAGAAGATGAGGAATCTATTTGTAATTTTTTGCTTTATTTTCATCTGTCAATGGACTTATTTGAAATTTTCACTTGAGTCAAATTATTTTTTGTGTTAGTTTTTCATGCAAACTTAAAAATAGCCATCATTTTAAATTGCCAAAATTTCCAAATTACTGGTAAAAATTATCTGAAGACAAACTTATGGGTAGTAAAGGCTAGTCAGAACCCTATATACATAAAGTGTAGTTACCATACAGATTAATATGTAGCAAAAATGTATGCTTGATATTTCTGAACTGTGTTAATTTTTCTGCTGTATTCTAGCTGAGCAAAACAATATTAAGAATGCATCTTTATAAATGGGTGCTAATCAGTAATGGAAATAATTTAGTAATGGACTATATAGGATGCTAATGAAGCCATATGTTTATGTCTGAATTAAAAAATTTTAAACAATCATTTACTATGTCATTTTTCTTTACCTTGAAGAACATAAAATGTTATTTTGGTTCTACAAGTAAGCAAGATATTATTTATGGCAAGAAATATTCCATTGAAATGTTGTACTGTAACATGGGAAAATGTAAATGTTTTTCATGGTTTCTATCAATGTGAAATAAAATTTAATTTTGAACAAAAAAATCAAGCAGTTTTATGTACTTGAGTGGGTATAATGTACAAGAATATTTTTTAAAAATTGGTTCTACAAAGCTGGAGGCATCACGCTACCTGACTTCAAACTATACTACAAGGCTACAGTAACCAAAACAGCATGGTACTGGTACCAAAACAAAGATATAGGCCAATGGAACAGAACAGAGTCCTCAGAAATAATACCACACATCTACAACCATCCGATCTTTGACAAACCTGAGAAAAACAAGAAATGGGGAAAGGATTCCCTATTTAATAAATGGTGCTGGGAAAACTGGCTAGCCATATGTAGAAAATTGAAATTGGATCCCTTCCTTACACCTTATACAAAAATTAATTCAAGATGGATTAGAGACTTAAATGTTAGACCCAAAACCATAAAAACCCTAGAAGAAAACCTAGGTAATACCATTCAGGACATAGGAATGGGCAACAACTTCATGTCTAAAACACCAAAAGCAACGACAACAAAAGCCAAAATTGACAAATGGGATCTAATTAAACTAAAGAGCTTCTGCACAGCAAAAGAAACTACCATCAGAGTGAACAGGCAACCTACAGAATGAGAGAAAATATTTGCAATCTACTCATCTGACAAAGGGCTAATATCCAGAACCTACAAAGAACTCAAACAAATTTACAAGATAAAAACAAACAACCCCATCAAAAAGTGGGCAAAGGATATGAACAGACAGTTCTCAAAAGAAGACATTTATGCAGCCAACAGACACATGAAAAAATGCTCATCATCACTGGCCATCAGAGAAATGCAAATCAAAACCACAATGAGATACTATCTCACACCAGTTAGAATGGCAATCATTAAAAAATCAGGAAACAACAGGTGCTGGAGAGGATGTGGAGAAATAGGAACACTTTTACACTGTTGGTGGGACTGTAAACTAGTTCAACCATTGTGGAAAACAGTGTGGCGATTCCTCAAGGATCTAGAACTAGAAATACCATTTGACTCAGCCATCCCATTACTGGGGATATACCCAAAGGATTATAAGTCGTGCTGCTATAAAGACACATGCACACGTATGTTCATTGCAGCACTATTCACAATAGCAAAGACTTGGAATCAACCCAAATGTCCATCAGTGACAGACTGGATTAAGAAAATGTGGCACATATACACCATGGAATACTATGCAGCCATAAAAAAGGATGAGTTTGTGTCCTTTGTAGGGACATGGATGCAGCTGGAAACCATCATTCTCAGCAAACTATCACAAGAACAGAAAACCAAACACCGCATGTTCTCGCTCATAGGTGGGAATTGAACAATGAGATCACTTGGACACAGGAAGGGGAACATCACACACCAGGGCCTATTGTGGGGAGGGGACGGGGGGAGGGATAGCATTAGGAGATGTACTTAATGTAAATGACGAGTTAATGGGTACAGCACACCAACATGGCACATGTATACATATGTAACAAACCTGCACGTTGTGCACATGCACCCTAAAACTTAGAGTATAATAATAAAAAGAAATAATAATAAAATAAAAAATTACCTTTAATTATACTTAAAAAAATTGGTTCTATATATCCTCGTTGTTATAAAATTTCTTCCACTTTGTTCTAGTTTTTTTGTATAAACAAAACGTGTGTTCATAATAATAACCATAATAAAATGTCAAAGAGTAAATTCACATTCTATCACAATGTTCATATAAAGCATTCAAAACATCCAAAAGAGATTTTCATTCCATATTTATCAGAAGTCATAAGAAAAGATGATAATCACATATTTTTTAAAAATAAACATTTAAATTAGTTCAAGTTTTTTTTTTCTTTTAACAAATTGCCTAACTGTACAGAGAAGATTGGGTTTCAAAAATAAGTTTTGATTTGTTAGCAATATATATTTGAATTTTTAAAAGCTCAGCAATTAGAGTAACTGTATTTTCTGTGGTCTTAGACAATTCCTATTTTTGTATGATCATTTCGGGTGCCTTAGTTCTTTACTTGTTTCATATGACTGAAGTCTGTGTGTACTTACTTGCATTTACTGATAGAAACCACAAATGTATATAAAAGCATCCTTTAGAATAGGAAAGAAAGCTTTCTTTCTAATCTTCTGTAGACTGAATTGTGGAAGGTAAGATTAGTGAAACACGTCTAAGTCCAGAGTACTGTATGTGTTTCTGCCCATTGGCCACAGTGGGTTCGAATAGGTGGAGGTCAGTGGTCAACAAGAATCAACAGGGGAGATGGCAAACAAGGGGTCAGCTCATGAGAGACTAGATGATGAAATATGGCTTGAACAGGCCGAGCAAGTATCAGAAATTTTAGCAACTAAGGCACACTGACACTTCACTCAGCAATAAACAGGCTTTGGGACTGTAAGAATACTGTTTATTTATTAATTATCTTGTTTATATATATAATTTTAATTTTTAGGGAAAACATTGAGTCTGCACATTTGTGCACAAGTTCACATTTTATAACAGCACAGCACCTCATAACAAAAAATCTGCCATAAAATTGAAAAATTCAAATCTCAAAGAAGATTGAGGTAAAAGGTGAAGCAACTCTTCATATTCTGTTTCCAATGCCTCATAAATATCCCAGAGATCCTAGGGAGCATCTGTTTTGCTTAATAAAACATAAGCATAAACGTTTAAGATAATCTGGGACAAATGTAGCAAATAGTAAAAAAAAAAAAAATTCTGGACTTGTTTTCCACATTCAGAACAATTCCTAAAAAAGTGAAAAGAATATAAAGTCTTCTTAAGCTATTCCATGCAAACCCAAACCCAGCAAGACATAAAAGTCAAGTGATTGCCTGTGGATTTACTGAAGGGGAGAATTTCACAATGAGGTATCTAGTTTTCCGATTGAGTCATGGGCTCTGTGAGTGAAGCCATGGTATTAGCTCTGTATGTGTACACAGGATGCAGTCACCGCATCACCGTGAGGACACAGATGGCAGCATCAGTCATATACACCTTGGGACTCTTTGAACTGACAAAGATAATTTAGATAGCTGTGGTTGATTTAGAAGTTGCCAACAGGCTTCTGATAGATGAAATCAAATTAATTTATTAATTCAGAAGACCATTAGGACATGTCATCTCCCCTCTCTTGCATCTACTCATTCATCCCCAAAGTCAAATGAACAAATTAAAAATGTTAACAATAATCATATTTGTTCTTTTCAGTTTTAAAGCATAGTTGAAACTTTAATTTCATAGGTGGTTCACTATTGTTACTAGCTAAAGTTTTAAATGTCCTGGAGCCCTGCATGGTTTGTGAGGGTGGTCAATACAGTGTGGCCACATGGTTGTGCTGAGCTCACTGGAAGTGGTTGCTTCATTGTCTTCATATTTATTCTCAGGTGTGCTGCTCTCTTATGGGCTCCAAGTGGGTATTTTATTCAAGGCAGCGCCAAAGATAATTTAAATTAGTAAAGAAAAAAATAATAAGTAGGTTTGGGTACAAGTTAAGTATATTTATAAACTGACACATTGTTATTGTTAGTGTGCATAAGGCAATTTACACAGAATTGGACTCAGTTCTACTTCATTACTTGTTATTATACTATCTGTGCAATTCAAAACAAATTCACTAAATCTCACTAGTTTCATCTTTAAAATTGGGATAATTATATGCCAGCCTCTTAAATTTAAATGATATTGCACATGTGAAATGCTTATTATTGGCTGGGCATGGTGGCCTATACCTGTAATCCCAACATTTTGAGAGGCCAAGACAGGAAGATTGCTGGATCCCAGGAGGTGGAGAGCAGCCTGGGCAACATAGCCTTGCTGCATCTGTACAAAACATAAATTAGCCAGCCACAAAGGTACATGCCTGGAGTCTAAGGTAGCTAGGAGGCTGAGGTGGGAGGATTACTTGATTCACAAGATGGACACTGCCATGAGCCATGATCACATCACTGCAGTGAGACCCAGTCTCAAAAATATATATATAT